GCCATCGACGTGAATGCCTAATTCTAGCCTATCCTCCTTCGTCCATGTGGTGAAGAGGGTCGCCGTTGATTTCGTTGGGGAGAGTGTTAGGCTCCTTGTAGTGAAGAAGCGAGAAAGGCTGGAGAGATAGTCGTTTACTTTTGAGCAGAGGTCATCAATTCTATTCGCAGACGCCAAAGTCGAACAATCGTCAGCGTACGAGATCAGGAAACTCCCTCAGGTTGCTGATGGAGCTTCGAGATGTCGAAGTTGAACAGTAAGGGGGAGAGAACACCACATTGTGGAAGCCCTTGTTTTATTCTTCTTGCTTTCGAGGTTTGAGTTCTGAAGATTACTGACGACTGTCGACCACTCATGTAATTCCCCGACCGTTAAGTGCTGCTGTTGTGCTATGCACTTCACGGAAGCCATGCTGATGCTTCGCTGGGGTCAGGTTGCAGGTGAAGTATGGGAGTTGTAGGGCATCTAGTGTCTTCACGACCGGAGAAAGGAGCGTTATCGGGCGATAAGAGTCTTCTTTGTTGGCGGGCTTCCCCGGTTTAAGCAGTGGGACCTCCCTGATTTCCACATATCAGGAATGATGAGAGTGGCCATTGACAGGTTGAGGACCTCCGTTAGGTATGCTACTCCCATGGGCCCAAAATGTTTCAGCATCAGCATACAGATTCCGTCGGGTCCAATGGCTTTGGAGGCTTTCTCCTTCCCGATAACCCCCTTCACTTAACCGCTGGTGAAAACAAGTGGTGCACTGTTTTTAGGCATTTGTGCAGCCTCCTTGTCACTCGACGTTTGGCCTTGTCTACCGAAGGATGCAGTGTAAATTGCCGACTAAAGTAGTTGGTGCATTTCTTCGGGTCCGACGAAGCGCGACCTGCGAATGAGATTTCCACTTTGTCATCACGCTTCGTCGGGTTGGACTAGGACCGCACGGTTGACCAAAGCTTACTCACACACTTTTTCCGATTGTGCTGATTTACCAGTTGCTGAATCTCCAAATTAAGGTCCTTCAAGAGAGGATCCCCGGGATGGACCTGGTGTTGGTTGGGTGGTCCGCGGGTGCAAAGTCGATGGGCTTAGGCAGCAGGTGACAGGGGGTATATACACGCTAAATATTTCGAGCTCGACATCGCCTGACCGGACAGTTATGTCCTGACATTCTAGAATAGTTGGTCTCGGGTCGATGTCTTCTTCGATAAGCCGATATTGCACTGTGTGGTGCAGGATGAGCGATAATCCACAACGATTATCTCGCTTGCGATCTTTACGGAGTACATTGTAGGCGACGCAACCCTATAGAGTTGAGTTGCTGTGCAACTTCGTTTCTTGGAGCGCAGCTATCAATATGCCATGCCGACCCATAAATACTACTATATCTCCAATCTTGTTTTGGAGTCCGTTGCAGTTAAGCTGTAAGAGTTTCGTGTGCCTTGAGAGGCGGGTCACGATACGGGGGCGAGAGGGACGTGTAGAGTCTAACTTGGGCCTGTTACGCCTGACGCAGTTGCTGTTGATGCCTGGTGGTAGGTGGCTGCAGTGGGAGCGATGTTGTTTGCGTCGCCGGTGCTCTACAGCAAGGGGCGCTCTAGTTCGTAGTCCACTCGCGTGTGGTGCGTAGACGGAAGTGGCACCAGCCAAGGCATGAGTTGCATTCGACTGATGACACATTCCGGTATACTCTGCTCTGGCAAACGGAGCAGATGGTTTGGGCAATACCTTACCAGCAACTTACACTTCTCCCGGCGGTCCTTACCACTTCACTGACGAATCTCCCTTACTTTAACAAAGACGGAATTTAGAATGTACATTTGGTATCAGACATACTTCTGAGCCGCTTTACTACAAAGTGAGTTACGTAGAATGTAGAGCAGTCGCTCGGAATTGTTCGGCGCTTGAAAATATTTTCCCAGTGGGTATATACCCAAATTAATTTTAATAATATATGTACATGCATACATACATATGTGTATATATAATATTAATTTTTATTTATTTACGTAGACACCGAAGCAATCGAGCACAAAAAAGGCAAGTTCTGTTCGGATCAGGACAGAAGCAGAGTCGCGGAAGCAGCAAACAGAAACGACGACTGTTTAAGTCTGGCAGCATCTTTAGAGGTCGACCACGAAACAAGACTGAAAACCGAGTCCCTTACCGTGGAAGAAGTGCGCGATATTGTAAAGTGGATTGAAGAGAACAGCACTTTGACACTGAAACAAATCCAACTGAAAGTGTACTATGCCTTCGATAAAGAAGTGTCGATCTGCACAATATATGACTCTTTACAGGGCAGGCTGTATACGACTAAACAACTAAACCACCAGCCAGCGACCATCAACAGTGCCGAAAATAAGGCAAAACGCGCCGAATATGTAAGAGCTTTAAATAATTTTATACAAGCTGGAAAACAAATAATATATATTGACGAAACAAATTTCAAGTTGTTTTGCCGTGGCACACAGGATCGGATACGTCCTCATTTAAGAGCAATTAAGATACATCTTATCGGAGCTATAGCCACAAGCGGAATAATAGCGATGGATTGCCGACGCAGATCTTTTAAAGATGCGCATGCATACAGTTGGATCAAAAAAGTCCTTCAGAGGTGGTTTAAGATGGGTAACAACCTTGCGGATTTAGTTGTGGTGTGCGATAATGATGCTCCGTGCTACAACCAGCTGAAATATTCGATCAATATTTTAAACGCCACAACAAAGGCAACACTCCTAAGCATGGAACCACATTCGCCAATGCTGAACCCTATGGAAATAATTTGGTCTAAAATAAAAACTTATGTGAACGCAAATATTGACCTTCTAGATATGGTTGGTCCAGGCGTAGGCGAAGAGTGGCTTTCTTATTTCGAGCGTCGTGTTAGTGAGGCAAAAGCAAGAATTGTTGACGGTGATTGCAGTAATGCAATCGAACATACCACCTCCTTTCATCCGGATGCACTGTCTTTGGACGATATGCCAGTTAGCATACAAACTGCACCTATGCATGTATATTAGTAACTGTTAGCAAATAAGTGTTATTTTTTAAAAAAATGTGAAAAAACTGATAAATGGATTTGAAAAACATTGGGGCTGCCCAGAATGTTGTGAAAATGGTCCTCGATTTGCAGTTGGGATTGCATTTGCAAATTTGCAACTTGCTGCCATGGCAACCGTGTTTTATTATTGGAACGATATCGTCGTTTATAGTACAAAACCGCATATCAACAAAATGCAAAACCACGTATCAAGATAATGCAAAGCCGAATCGAACAAACTTTATCAGGCCGATTCTGAACAGAAACTCCCTGCGAGTTTTCTCTCTTTTCCCTTTCCTCCTATCATGAATAAAAATTCCCCCGAAGATTTTTTTTATATTAAATGGCGGAGTTGAGCTGTCAAAAAAGTGTCCAACAGCTCTCTCGAAGTTCGAATTTCCTGCTCCCAAATTTTCGGGGGAAATGCGACTCCCTGGGATTTAATTATTGGTGGATTTCTTTCTCGGGAGAAACAAATTCGCGGCGGTATATTTATATGTACATATAGCCGTCCGTTTCATTCCGTATTTCCGCAAATACCAACTTTTTCAAATAGGAATCGAGTTAGAATCTTATTTCTACTAATTTGTATTTGCGCAAATAATTGTGTGGTGTATTTGACGCAATAGTATTCTCTTTTCATTGCAAGTTAATCATTTTAATATCTGTTGCAAAATTTTATACAGACAAGACTAAAAACTACAAAATAAATCAAATAAAAAAAAACTTTTTAATATACCACGCTATAGCTTTGTATTGCATGGGCTCTACGTTTTTCGTTTTCAATCCCATAAATTGTTTATAAAGACTTTTGCTAAAATTTCAAAATCAAAAGTTTTTTAGTCCATTTATAAAAGCGTGGTATATTAAAAAGTTTTTTTTTTAAATTTATTTATTTTCAATTTCATTCCATTGTGAGTTGCGCTTAAAGGAATTATTATTATTATTTTTTATTAAAAAAAAATATAATCAGAATTTTGTCCGATTGACAAACAAAATGATTTACTGGTA